CCCCCCCACCACCATCATCACCGCCACCGCCTGTCGTTGACGCTTCCACCACCCCCACCTCCACCATTACCCCCGTCGCCTCCACCACTGCCACCGCCGTCACCACCACCACCACTACCACTGCGCCTATCATCGCCACTACCATCACCGTCGCTCTCGCCGCCACCACGGTCATTACCATCCACCACTTCTCATCCCCATTACAAACCGATGTTTAATTACTTTATCTTTCTTTTATGTTTGTGATTTGATTTTGAATATGAATACATATATGTTTATTATTTTTTATTTTTTATTACTTTGTACCTTCAGACAATAACTAGTATATGATATTCCATGTCACTATAATATATGCCTCATGTGTTTTAACAAACACAAATCACATAAAATTACATCTATTTTTTATTTGGTTTTTTAAAAAAATAAACAAATAATATACAAACACACACCATGTTAACACATAATGTAATTTCACCGATTGATATATGAGTTTGAGTTTAGGTGTTTAATATAAATAAGTAATTAGTTAAAGGTTAAAAAAGTAAAAAACATATTTTTATTTAACGCGAGTACTATTTTCTTTCTTTTTTCGCTTAATTTTGGAAGGATTGATTTTGATGAGTTGTAAGGAAAGCTCATCCATCTATTTTTCGATTCTTCTTATTTTTCTTTATTTTCAAACATAATATTTTATTTATCTCTTAAACTTTTCATCATTCTAACTTTTCATTTTTTCATTATACCAAATAGAATATAAGTTTTGGGGTTATTCGATATCATATTTGAGGAGTAGGGCACAATAATCTTTATAGAAATATGACACAACCGAATGATTTTTTGTAGTAAGAAACAATAGGACTTTTTTGAAATTTTTTATTTTAATTTATGAATTATTATTATAGGTGGTAAATGATTCGAGTTATTCGTGCTTCACTTGAATTTGACTCGTTTTAAGCTCAGAATAAATTTTTAGGCCCATTCAAAAAAGAATACTAGAAGCACGATTTGTTTTGGACTCGAACTTACAAAGTTCGAATCGTTTATTTATAAAATAATTGAATTATTTAAATTCGATTAATTTTAGGTCTGATTCGAGCTCATTTGTTTAAAAGGTCGTCAAGTTTTAATATATTTTAAAACTCATTTTAAAAAATGAGCTCGGCTCTGGTTCGAATTGGTTGGTTCGACTATTTTTTCACCCCTAATTGTTATCGACTAGTGTTGCATTAATTTTTGCATGCAATTAGTTGATTAATTTTTGGATTAGATTAATTAATGTTTTGGACTTACTAATAAATGTCAATATTAAATGGAATGTACTGTAGATTTGGTTCGAATACATTAGTTGCTTTACTACCTACACATTCACACCAGTCCCAAGCATCCAGAGTTCAGCTTCCCAGTAGAGAGCTCGGAGAGCGAACAGTCTCCCTCTCTCACAACAGAGAAATAATGGGTTTCTTTTCGTTTCTCGGAAGAGTACTCTTCGCCTCTCTCTTCATTCTCTCTGCTTGGCAAATGTGAGCTCCCCTTCTCTCTCTCTCTCTCTCTCTCTCTCTCTCTCTCTCTCTACATCTGATATGCACTAATGGGAATGTATGTTCTTTATGCATATTGTGGACGCTACTCATTGTTTATTGTTAGATCTAGCTTTTGTTGCTATCACTGAGTTACTTGCTTCACTGTTTTACTTCCTGATTTTTGTTATCGTTACACTGATCTGTTTGGTCGCCGAGAAAGCTGAGGGAAACGAAAAGAAAATTGGATTTTTTTTTTGTTGTAACTTATGCTTTGTGTAATTTCGGATTTGGAGAAGTAAAAGGACTGGCTTTAACTAAAGAGGGTTTGTTGTACTTTGTTCAATTGACTCGAAATTTTGTGGGTTTTTTGTATTACAAATGGATGCTCTTAAAGATTGAACTATGTTTCTAAGAAGAACAGTATTGAAAGTGCTATATTCGATTGAATCTGTTGCAATTTGTACTAAATGGTAGGCGTGTTGGCGAATTACATGATCAGTTCTCTTTTCCTCTTAGTTGCCATTTGTTGCACTTATTATCTGATAATTGATTAATGCTGGCAATTTTGGCTTCTGTGGATATGCGGACTTTACTGTTGTATACAAGGGTACTGTTGTTGTAATTAATTATATTTGTTAAGGCAAGCGGTAGCTCTTCTTCCTCATTCTCTTTTAGAACCCTCTGTGAGGTGAAACTGATTTGAAAAATAGATGATCTAGACCGGTATTTGGCCATGATGACTTGGGAGAGTAACAGGCTTTGGTGAAGGTGTATTCTCCAGCCAGTGCTTAACAAGGAGGGCTTGGTTAAGCAATGTGAAGTAGAGCAATACCCCTAGAGCCTTGAGCTTATAGAGGGGTGACCATCAGAGTGAGTGCAGATATTGGCCATTGGGAGATTGATGCCACCTTAAGTGTGACAGGATATAGTTACGTTTGTAGTGGATTCAAATTGGGATTTGGTCTAAATATTGGTTTTTAGCATGAATCATTAAAAAGGCACCCCGCAAAAAATTGTGGGGGAAAGAAACATACCACAAATATTATTGCAAATATCAGTTAGTAGATCTCTTTATTCACCTATTAGTACACGTGGCATGACAAGAAAGGCAATTCCCAAAAGTTTCATAACATATATCTATTCAAATATGGACTGTTAAAAAATAATCTTTTTTGAAACTGAATAGTAGCTTTCTACTAATTGGCATGATAAAGAACAATCTATAATATCAAACAAGACAGGCTTCAGTAAGTCCATCTGACGGTCTCAAATAGATTCATTCAACGACCACAAACATCTCTCTCAAAACCATTCACATACTGTGGCTTCAGTCACGAGTAACCTCTGGTTTTCTCATAAAGTAGGATACACATCAATCCCTATCAGCCATATGTAGTCGAAGGATATACATAAGATCTATGACTCTTATTTAGATGAAATGTGTAGTCCGATGTCTATAGAACAAAATTGTTTATGTTATTTGATGAAGTGTTGAACTAGTGGATTTGACATGTTTGTCATGACTTGTCCACATGTTGTACCTGGCCTGAATGTACATCAAACTGCAGTTGGTCATAAGCAATTTTTGCTTGGACTGTTCTTGGTGGTACTCTAGTTACCCACCGCTACTTTTCTTGTTTTTGACATAGTATTTGAAGTTGATTTTGATAAAGGTGCAGGTTATGGAGTGGTGATCATGTACATGATTGACGAGTCATGACAAACATGTTTTCAATGTAACATAACCTCTGGCCTTCAGTTAGGCTGTACACTTTAAGCATGCTATACTTTTCCTCCCTATTTCAATTCATATGCTGGTTAGGCTATTCCATATCATTGTAACAACTTCTACATTGACCTCATCACTGAGTAGTGAAGTTGCAAGTTCTCATTGCACATGGCCAAACTGCTAGTTTCTTTTATCTTTCATATTACTTGTGCTCTGCTTGGTATCTAACAGGGTTTTTAGCACTCCAAACTTGATATTTGGGTCCTCATATTCTTCTATTTCAGCGCTCTGAACTTGACTGTGGGGTCTTCATACCCGTGTGTATGGATGCATGTGTAAATTCTACTGAGAAACAGAGCATTGAAGAAAACTGAGACATACTATTTTTTTCTCAAGATATAGAATTCCATGATTGTCCCCAACTAAATGGCCTATACATTTGTGTTTGTTGGAGAATATTGTACATGCACATGGCCAAACTGCTAGTTTCTTTTATCTTTCATATTACTTGTGCTCTGCTTGGTATCTAATGGGGTTTTTAGCACTCCAAACTTGATAGTTGGGTCCTCATATTCTTCTATATCAGCACTGTGCCCGTGTGTATGGATGCATGTGTAAATTCTACTGAGAAACAAAGCATTGAAGGAAACTGAGACATATTTGAGCTTCTATCTATTTTTTTCTCAAGATATAGAATTCCATGATTTTTCCCAACTAAATGGCCTATCCTTTTGTGTTTGTTGGAGAATATTGTACTCTTCTGTTAATATTAATATGGCATGTGTTGTACAGGTTCACTGAATTTGGTGGTGATGGTGGCCCTGCAGCAAAGGAAATCGCTCCTAAACTAGCTATTGTCCAGAAATTCGTAACCTCTAAGTTAGGGGAAGGGGGACCCAAAATTGACGTAAAGCACTAGTTTTATTTAATTTTTTGTTTGCGTTAATAGGTTGAATTTTTTTTCATCTTTGCAGTGTGTAGCTATTTTGTATCTTCGACATATTTTGTACAGGTAAAGCATTTTGTTGGAGCTTCTATCGCTCTGAAAGGGCTCGGTGGCCTTCTATTTGTATTTGGCAGTTCCATTGGAGCTTATCTATTGGTTAGTATTTCTTCCTTTTGAATTTTCTCTTAGTTTTTGCATTTTGATGATGCATTATTACTATTGACATTGTAGCCTTAGTTTTTTGCCTCTTGTTGCTGCTGATTTACCATCTATAAACATTGTTTTCTTTTCGTGATTTCATTTTAACCCTCTTCATTTTTGTAGCTTTATTACTTGGTGTATACCACTCCACTTCTGTATGACTTCTACAATTACCACTATGGTGAGCCAGAATTTTTTGTCCTCTTACAGGAGTTCCTGCAGGTTGGTTAGATTCATATTCGGTGTCTTCTCTTGCTTACATGAGTGTTATGCACATATAAGATTGGTTAATTNTGCAGGTTGGTTAGATTCATATTCGGTGTCTTCTCTTGCTTACATGAGTGTTATGCATATAAGATTGGTTAATGAGATCTTCTTTTCTTGGCAGTGTATAGCACTTTTTGGTGCATTGCTTTTCTTCCTAGGGATGAAGGACTCAATTCGAAGACAGCAACTCCAAAGGAAGACCTTCAAAACTAAGACATCCTAGATTTGTTGAAGACAAGAAAGTGAAAGACTGGATGGTTTCTTGGGGGGCGCTTTAATGTGGGAATTAGAACAGGCTCGGCTGTGTAGAGCCAAGCTTTGTATTGTGGATTATATCTCCCCCGAAATAATTTGTCATATTTTATGCTGCATTCCTCTTTCACTTTACTGGGTTTTTTACCCATTTAGTTGCATTGATAAGCACCATTCTGGAATGGGATTTGTTGCTTTAACAAGGATATGATTGTATAATTTGTCGGTTTTATCGCTAAACCTTTATGTTTTTTGGATTAATAGTTGTCGCTGAGCTCAGTTTGTTTGGATTAAGAATTTGTTGAATTGGGAAAAATTAGGTTGCACAAGGATTTGCATAAATCATAACATTGAATTTGGATACGTGGAGCTCGTTAGCACATTTGCTTAAATCATAAGATGTTGAACTCTTCTCCTTTTGATTTTTGGGTGCTCTCTCTCTCTCTCTCTGTGTGTTATTCTGAACGACAATTTTCTGTGCACTATGGAGGGGAATAATCTCTCAATTTTTTGGTGTGGACCTACAATTTTTTGATATCAATCCAATCAAGTCACTATTTCAATCGAAACATCACTGTTTTGACCGAAACGGTTCAAAACAGTGACATTTTGCTCGAAACTAGAAATTTTTTTATTTTTATCCATGTTTTGTGTCGGTGTGTTAAAAATTTAAAATGTTTCAACACAGTATTTCGATCTCTTGGGTATGACCTTCCTGTCCACGTTAACCTGTGCGGGCTTTGACCTTGTTGGCCATGGTTTATCCTGCAGGACCAAAAGGGAATTGGGTTCTGTAACTTGAAGGGGCAATCAAGTAGAGTATGAAATAAGAATAAGAAGGTGAAGAGAGGCGGAATGTGGAGTGCAAGGCAGGAGCAGTGTGTCGGACTCTGTTAGTATCCCACATCGAAAGTGGAAAGTAGTGAACACCGAATAGTTTCATATAAAACATGAGTGGATGAAGCAGAAAAAGATTAAAAGGGTCGGTTGGCTAAATGTGCCACTCTCACCCTTTGTCGGTGAGTGCTGTATGGCTATCAAGACATATGGCCGACAATATTTGTGGAATTTTGTAGGGTTGGCTCGTTTGGCCGACTCTCTATTGCATAACCTCAAATTGTCATAATAACCGTAGTTTATTTATATATTTGATACTTGAATGACGAATAATTAAATTTATATAAATTTTATAAATAATTATTTATTTTTAATATTTATATAAACAATTTTGATTAGATTAAAGTATATTTAAATTTATAAAATATAAGATATTGCAGATGGGTACGGATTTATTTATAGGTTCAATTTATTTTTGAATTGACTTGATTTGAACTCGTTATTTTAGAAAATGAGTTAATTTTGAATAATTTTTTAAATTTTGCATTAATTCACAAAATTTGATTCGTTTATATATGTAATATAATCACACTCAAACTTAAACACATATTTAGACTCCTTTTCTAAAAACGAAATTGTTCGGCTCTGTCTTAAACTTGTTCTTTGGGCTAGTCATATTGGATAGTAGGTGGTATAAAAAAAAGGCTTAATCAAATATTAATATTTAAAATAAGGCTAATCTTAAATTGCACACTTCAAATGTCATTTGAATCTCAATTTACATCTTTAAAGATAAAAAATTTAAATTTATACTCTTAAAGATAGAATTTTGTATTAATGCACACCTCAAACTAACAGTCGTTAGTTTGTTATCTAAAATTAAATGAATAAATTATACTTAAACTCCCTCATGCTTGTCACTTAATCATTTAGACTTCTCACATTTGAAATATTACACATATATCCCTTTATAGTCTAAATATGACTAAAAATGCTCCCCCAATTAGGCATCCAAATAATTTTATTTAAGTGATATATTACATTAGATATAAAGAACATTATATAAATACATACATTATATTGGGCATTCAAATGGTAAACTTGATTTTAAACTTTTGAATAAACGGACCCACAAAATAAAAGGCAATACGAAAATTATAAATTTTTATTAATATGAAATTATATTTTTTAACGGTTATATTAACAGATATCAACGACAAAAGTTCATGTGTTACACGTGCACAAATATCAGGAGGTGTAAAAATAATATTCTAAATGTGAGGGGTCTAAATGATTAAGTGATAAATATGAGGGGATCTAGGTATAATTTATTTATTTAATTTTAAATGGTAATATATTAGGATAAAAACTGTCGATTGTTAGTTTCAGGCGCGCATTAATACAATTTTTTATCTTTGAGGGTATAAATTGAGATTGTTTATCTTTAAGAATATAAATTAAAATTCAAACAATCTTTCAGGATGCAATTTACGATTAACCCTTTAAAATAATCATCTAATGTATGTTGTTTTTTCTTATTTGGCATAGCATGCATAGAATAAAATAGTAGATTAATTATTAGGGTAAGATTATTCCTACTCCTTAAATCTCCTTTTTTACTCTATTTAATCNTGTGTAGATTTGATTAATATTAGGTACAAATACGAATTTATGTACATAATGTGATAAAATAAGCCCCCATCACCACTAGGTCCGTCAATAGATCATATTTTGTTTCGAATCTAATAAGTCAGATATGAATTGATAAATGTTACCAATTATTCAAATATGCATTTGAATTCANTTTATATTCACTAATTAAAAATTAAATTCATTCAATTATATTTCAATGTATTAAATAGGAAATTATCAAAATTTTATTTTGGTGTATTATTTCGGTACAAAAATATTTAAGAAATAGAATAGACTTAATAATTATTTTTAAAATATTAGTTGAGATATACTAAAATATCGTAAAACACCTCAAAATATTTCAAAGATATTGGNAATTTGGATATATTAATATTCAATCTATTAACAATTCGATCCGAATTATATATATATATTTTTATCTCATAAGTTTATATCCATTTATATTGTTTTGTCTCCAATATTCTCTCTCTACTATCTTCTTCTTTCTTATTTATAACTGAAAGTTGAGGTAGATAGATCTAGTTAAGGCTTCAAATGAGTAGTGGTGTTTACCCTACCTTACATGTAAGAATTATGGTATTTCATCTTCCTATCCGATACTTTATCGAAGAATTTTTTCTTGGCCTACTCTACTAGATCAAGTGTACTATTCTTACCTGAATTCTGTCCAAAACAATCGGATAGGAAGTCGAGTGAACACATATTTTTTAGTTAGTAATTTTTGGATAATTTTAACAATTTAATTAAGTAACTTGCATCAATTAACTAAAACAATAAATCAACAATACTAAAGAAAAGACAATAAATTTGATAATACATAAATAATTACAATAAACCCTAATGTTTTATATATAGAAACTGTAATGTTTTATTGATACGGATAGAGTAGGGTAGAAGTATAGAAATTTCGTAGGTATTCTGTATTCCTACCCGATTTTTGCGGAATATCAAAAAATTTTCTGTTGGCCTACTCGATTTTTTCGGGTAGCTGATCAACAGAGTCAGGTAGGATAAAATAAGGTCAAAATTTGCTAGTAATCGAAAATTTGAACACCCTTGCAAATGAGTAGGCAATTATGATTTTTTTTTTCCCATTGTGGAGTTGAATCTAATATAACGTGTAAGATATTGTAAGTTGATTATATTTTGTAAATAAACGAATCTAACCAAATTTTTGGACTAGATATCCGAAAGTTAATGAATTCAAATTTGATCGGATTGGATCACGTAAATTATTAATGAATTTGAATTAAGATTTAACAGAATTCGATCCATATCCGATCAATTGACAGACTTAATTATCACCCATAGACTAAATGCCAAAATTAGGGATTAAATTCTCTCTTTGCACTGTTCAATTTTGGACAGCCATATGATCCAAAATCAATGAACAAAGTCAGCAACATCTCGTAATGACGTTTCGTATTGCTTTGAGTCTTATAATTAATTAACTCCAATGATTCCTTACCATCTTTTCTTTATGGTGCCGTCTCAACTTTTACCTATACTTTTCTTTAGTCTCATCATTTGACTATTCTAAGGTTCTCAAGTAAAAGCACATGTAAATTATAGACAAAAGTAACATTAAAATTTGATGGAAACATCGTGGACCCTTCCTATATATCTCGATCAATGTGGTTTACATGATTCTTTTTACAAATACAACCTCTTTTTTTTTTTTTTTAAAATATCGAATGAAAACTAGTATCAACTAATCACATGAATGCGATCGATAATACAATAAGAATGAGGTTGTTATCATTATTCTTATTTTTTGCCATTCAAAATCGTCTATTTTTTGTTTCTACCCTCTCAAAATAAGGAAAAAGTAACACATTTACAAATTATNATGAATGCGATCGATAATACAATAAGAATGAGGTTGTTATCATTATTCTTATTTTTTCCCATCCAAAATCGTCTATTTCTTGTTTCTACCCTCTCAAAATAAGGAAAAAGTAACACATTTACAAATTATATACCCTAGATTTTTCAATTTTCTACCAATCTAAACTTCTCTCGATCATCTAAGCATTTTTATATTAATCCATATAGTAACTAGAATATGAAAGTTTCATGGATTACTACATGGCAGTCTAATATTAATTTCTCGAAAGACACAACTTGATTTACCCGATGTTATCGATCACGAGTTTCGTCACAATCAAGAGCCGAATAACACACATTGGAGATGGATTGCAAAAAAAATTGTTGCATTATTAGTTCTTCATATCTAGCAGAGATGAGGGAATTAACATTATCTGAGAAATACTTTTTTTTTTTGGCCTTACACATTCTCCATAGACCTAGATCGATCAAGGCCAAAACATTGCCCTAATTTCTACAAGAAAAACAATTCCATATTACATGAAAATACTTCTTAAATAGGGGTTCAAGACAACGAATTTGAGATTAAGTTACGATTCAAAAATGTCAATTATAATTCAATGATGTCAAACTACAACTCAAAGAAAAGTTAAGATCAATTCTAAAACGTTAGAATCAATTTCAAAAAAATCTTATTTTGGCGTATATATATGCTCACCTACTTGGGTAGTAACCGCACTTTTATTATATAATAATTATAGTGTGATAGTGAAAAATAATTTTTTTGTACGTTAGTTTCTCCTTATTCAAGCAAAAGTCTAAATCTTTTCACCATCCAAGAGTGTCACTAAAAACTCAAAATCCCTTTTTTCCAGCATCAACCCATCACATAAATCAACACCAAAAAATATTTTTTAAATCTAATTTAGTGATCATAATTGCTAATTTAATACATCACAACTCTTGAATGTGTAGTGAATTCCAATTAATGCTAGAACACAAACATTATCGTGCCCTAATTTCAATAACTCAAAAAAACACTTCCTAAAACACACAAAACACTTTCAATATTTCAAAGTCTTGAAAGGACTATCCCCTTATTAGACAAACCCAAAAGGCTACATATCTCTGGACACATGGCCTTCCTGATCTCCTTATACACCTCTCCATTCCAATTCCTCTTGCCCAGTTGTTCTCCCAGGCGCACTGCAGCCTCCATCGCTTGTTCTCCGCTATCGTGCGCCGAGTCCACAACCCCCATCTTTACGGCCTCTTGGCCCTTGACCTTCGAGGCTTGCAAGACCAAGCATCTCTGAGCCGAAGCCGAGCTCACTTTGGACCTAATCAGAGCCATGAAGTAATCAGGAATAATCAACCCAATATCCAACTCACTCATGTACAACACACCTCTATCACGCCTCATGAGGACGTAGTCGTGACTCATGGCTAGCATGAGCCCAGCCGCGGCTGCGTGGCCGGTCACAGCGGCTATGGTGGGCATTGGAAGAGAGAGAAGATCGGCTAAAACCAGCTTGAAGAGGTCTCCCATGTGGTGGAGCCGAGCATGGTTAGCCGAAGCCGAGCCACCAGCTTCGGCCCACTTGAGGTCAAAACCATTGGAGAAGAACTTGCCTTGAGCCGTAGTGATTAAAGCCGACCCGGGAACGGACTGGGCCTTTGCTTCGGCTAGAGCCGACCGGAGAGAGGAAATAAGTGTCGGGTTTAGCCGGTGTTCGTTGTCTCCGGTCAAGGTTAGCAAAAAAAAATTACCACGTTTCTCTAACGTGCACATGGCGGCGGTGGCGGTGCCGGTGCCGGCGCCGGCGATGCCAAGAACTTTGTTTGCCTTGTAGGTAAGATCAAGTAACAAGGTGATTGGTTTCGGACCAAAAGTATATTAGTGTTGATAATTTAAATGATTAGCGCGATGGTCAATGGTGGATGTGTGTGGGCTTTAGGTTTCTCTGCAAAGATATAGAGGAGAAGATTAAGAGAGAGAGAGAGAGAGAGGATTGGTTCATGGGGCGGCTGGGATGATAGACTTGAACGCCATTGGTTTATTAATTTAATCCAGGGTTTTTTAAAAGGAAGATACCTTGATTCTTATTTTATATCTTAAAAAATTATTTTTTTTATGAATGTCATAAATTAGTTTAAATATAATTCTCCAACTAATATCTATTTCAAATTTTGTTAAAAATAGATGTACATGCTACCAAAAGATATGAATTATAAATTTATATTTTTGTCAAAGAGTAACACATGTGGATCAATTTTTAATAGAAGTTAGTTCAAAATTAGAACCAACTCATTACATTCAGGGTGCAATGTAGAAAAAATAATTTTTAAGGGCACAAAGTGAGAAGCGCAATAATTTTTAAGGGCACAAAGTGAGAAGCGCGATAATTTTTAGGGTGCAAGTCCGAAAAACCTATTAATCAATTATAGTGAATTCTACTATTGTAACTGGCAGGACTTAAGGTGGGTCAGCAGCTCTTGAATTGACACGTGTAAAATTGTAGTCGTTGNCCCATCACATAAATTAACACCAAAAAATATTTTTTAAATCTAATTTAGTGATCATAATTGCTAATTTAATACATCACAACTCTTGAATGTGTAGTGAATTCCAATTAATGCTAGAACACAAACATTGTCGTGCCCTAATTTCAATAACTCAAAAAAACACTTCCTAAAACACACAAAACACTTTCTATATTTCAAAGTCTTGAAAGGACTATCCCCTTATTAGACAAACCCAAAAGGCTACATATCTCTGGACACATGGCCTTCCTGATCTCCTTATACACCTCTCCATTCCAATTCCTCTTGCCCAGTTGTTCTCCCAGGCGCACTGCAGCCTCCATCGCTTGTTCTCCGCTATCGTGCGCCGAGTCCACAACCCCCATCTTTACGGCCTCTTGGCCCTTGACCTTCGAGGCTTGCAAGACCAAGCATCTCTGAGCCGAAGCCGAGCTCACTTTGGACCTAATCAGAGCCATGAAGTAATCAGGAATAATCAACCCAATATCCAACTCACTCATGTACAACACACCTCTATCACGCCTCATGAGGACGTAGTCGTGACTCATGGCTAGCATGAGCCCAGCCGCGGCTGCGTGGCCGGTCACAGCGGCTATGGTGGGCATTGGAAGAGAGAGAAGATCGGCTAAAACCAGCTTGAAGAGGTCTCCCATGTGGTGGAGCCGAGCATGGTTAGCCGAAGCCGAGCCACCAGCTTCGGCCCACTTGAGGTCAAAACCATTGGAGAAGAACTTGCCTTGAGCCGTAGTGATTAAAGCCGACCCGGGAACGGACTGGGCCTTTGCTTCGGCTAGAGCCGACCGGAGAGAGGAAATAAGTGTCGGGTTTAGCCGGTGTTCGTTGTCTCCGGTCAAGGTTAGCAAAAAAAAATTACCACGTTTCTCTAACGTGCACATGGCGGCGGTGGCGGTGCCGGTGCCGGCGCCGGCGATGCCAAGAACTTTGTTTGCCTTGTAGGTAAGATCAAGTAACAAGGTGATTGGTTTCGGACCAAAAGTATATTAGTGTTGATAATTTAAATGATTAGCGCGATGGTCAATGGTGGATGTGTGTGGGCTTTAGGTTTCTCTGCAAAGATATAGAGGAGAAGATTAAGAGAGAGAGAGAGAGAGAGAGGATTGGTTCATGGGGCGGCTGGGATGACAGACTTGAACGCCATTGGTTTATTAATTTAATCAAGGGTTTTTTAAAAGGAAGATACCTTGATTCTTATTTTATATCTTAAAAAATTATTTTTTTTATGAATGTCATAAATTAGTTTAAATATAATTCTCCAACTAATATCTATTTCAAATTTTGTTAAAAATAGATGTACATGCTACCAAAAGATATGAATTATAAATTTATATTTTTGTCAAAGAGTAACACATGTGGATCAATTTTTAATAGAAGTTAGTTCAAAATTAGAACCAACTCATTACATTCAGGGTGCAATGTAGAAAAAATAATTTTTAAGGGNATTAGAACCAACTCATTACATTCAGGGTGCAATGTAGAAAAAATAATTTTTAAGGGCACAAAGTGAGAAGCGCAATAATTTTTAAGGGCACAAAGTGAGAAGCGCGATAATTTTTAGGGTGCAAGTCCGAAAAACCTATTAATCAATTATAGTGAATTCTACTATTGTAACTGGCAGGACTTAAGGTGGGTCAGCAGCTCTTGAATTGACACGTGTAAAATTGTAGTCGTTGTGGAGTTCAAAGGGCGCCGATCCAAGAGGTGACGACCCGGAGGAACCGAGTGCTCGAGCTGACACTCGCATTTAATGCGACTTGATCATTCATTTATAGCGAAGCAAGTGATAGAGACATTATCATTAATGAGGTCCTGCAGTCTCAGACCTTAGGCATGTGGTCATGATGGCTAGACATTAATGGCTTATACGTCGAGTGTATCTCCTTGGTATGCCTCGAGGCACTGTTTCCTCCCGAGCATTAAAACACAAAAGTAGGTGTCAGGTGTCGATCATAGACACTTGAGTGCTCGGGAATAGCCATAGGTTTTCGGCACGTCCCTGAGCACTTGTCTTGTCGCCCCAGCATTGAATGTGCGAAGATTTGGGTGAAGAACATTCAGATCCTCGTGGGTAGAAGCGTTAGGTATTAAATGTTCAGATAAGACTTAAAG